CTCCATGCATGTGCTTGTACATCTTACTTGAAATGCTGTTTAACCTTTTTGACATGTCTGATATCTTATTCTGGGGACTGTCACTGTGTACTAGATGTTAAAAACACACCTGAGCACATCTCGTATTACCACATGACATCACGAGTTGGAACAGAGTGTTTGAAGTGAATGAAACAAAACAAAACTCCAGGTACAGGATGTTTTTGATGAGGAAACAACATTACAACAAAGACAGAAAATAGTGTAATATAGGCCCTTTAAAGGTGCAATAAAGTCTGTTTTGTGTAATATTTGTCTTTTAATCAACCACTTTTTACCATTAGAGTAGAGTAAACATATCTTAATAAATGGGTACGTACACATTCAAAAGTACCAGGCGTACAAAGAGCCACACACAGACAATTGTTCTCTCTTTTACAATCATTGCACTTTTCATCGGGCTTCAACACTTGTCATTGTCTATTGAAAAGTATGTCACAGAAAGGAACAAAGCAACACCCTGGAACCTAGACACAACACGCTGTCACCAGAGTCGATTATGGGGAAACTGCACAATATGAAGGCCGTGAACTTCCTGTACTGCCACTGTCCCCAGACACAACAATCACAGTTAATCCTACAATGGCACTTATCAGGAAAACTTTGACATTCTTGCACAGGTGGATAGTGTAGTCAGTAATTATACTTTGGTAAGAATTGTGTTAGTAATACGTTAAAAGTACTTCAAATATTGACTTAAAGGACCGTATTGCGCCATATTCTGATCTTTGTTATAAATCTGATCTATGTTTCCTCATCAAAAACATACCTGGAGTTGTGTTATGTTTCATTCGCACATGTTTAACACACCCTGCATGTTTAGGCTGAGTTCTTGTCTCAAACAGAAAACATTTTGTTCTACCTTGCGATGTCATGTGGTAATATCATAAGGTGGGACAGAGCATTATGAGCTTTGGAGATGTAGAAAGACTAATAATAAAGGATTAGTCAAACATGTGTGAATGAAACAAAACACAACCCCAGGTGTATTTTTGCTGAGTCAACATTCTAACAAGGCTTAAAGCTCACAAAAGTCAATTTTGCGTAATACAGGGCTTTTAAGTAAAAGTTTCAAAAGTACTGAGTGGCAATAATACTGAAGTGTAGAGTAGCAGTTTAGACATATCATCTATGGTACATTGATGTCATCAGGAAGTCGATTTGTAAATTTGGGTATCCCCAAACTGTACACGGTGAACTTTTGAAAAGTGTTTTTGTCATTTACAAAGGAAGTGGGATGGATTGTTCAACATTAACTTGCACAAAGAAGAGACGATTATTGTGAAAACATTATTACTTAAAGTCCCTGTACCTGATTTTGTAAAAATATTTGAGCAAAATTCGTCAGATTTTGTATTTGTATTGTAGGGATCGTCAAAAGTCTCACAATAATATCATGGGCTATCACAATATATCAAATCTCAATCTAAAAAACAGAGGGAACTACATAGACCATGATCCTTTGGTGTTCTCAGTGCAGACTACATGAAGAAACAACTGTTATGAAGCATTTTTAAATCTTATTTCTTCATATTATAACAGCACCAAAGGCTTTTTCAAGTCTTTTAAATGAAAAAGTAGCATATACACAAATTTGTAAGCCTCCACAAATATCGCAATAAATATCGTACCGTGAAATGCATATCGTGAAAATATCGTATCGAGACATTTGAACATAGTTACACCCCTAACATATTGTATAAGCAGCCGTTGAAGTCAAAATAAATCAGCTGTGTCCCATCTGAATCGGTTTAAGAAGCGTTTATTGTCCGAAAATCAGGAAGTGATCGTGAGCGTGCTATTTTTTGTAAGTTTTACCGTCACTACAAAGCTCTGCACTGGTTTTTGACAGCTGTGAAAAGCGCTTATAAACTAGAATAATTAGGATGTCCGGAATACGCAAGTTAAGTTCGGAATAACTTTGTACCGCTGCAAATTGCTTAAAAAGAACTAGATCTGTTTTTCACATTTTCAAGACAGTAAAAAGCGCAAAGTATGTGATGAAACGGCTATAAGAAGTATAAAGTAATCTAAAATGCAGCTCATTACTACCATTACTACTACCCTTCCCTGCATTCCTGGGTGTGGATTGGGCTACATCTGTGGGTCTGTGTGGCAGCTGCTTCGCATGCTCACGTCACCTCGCAAACACACTGACACGGCAGCACCGCAACTTTCTTTTCATTCTCCCTCCCTTCTTTCTTTCTTTCCCTCTCTCTCTCTCCAGCTGTGTGGAACGTGCGGCGGTGGGGGGAGAGGCCCCGCCCATGAGGTGATCGGGAGGTTACAGCGCTCCTTCAAACGTGCACACATGGCCCGCACTCGTCTTTTCTAGTCTCCTCTGTTGCTTTTGATTGCGGGCCAGTTGGACGGCGGTATTGTTTTAACAGACATATCTCTCATAGCACTAGCACATACGCAAGCAGACGCACCCTCTTTCCTCAAGTCGTTTTATGAGAAGTTCGTCTGGGGCTATAAAAACACGCATTATGGGATGTGATTTTTTTTTTTTTTTTTTTTTTAAGTAATAAATGAAAATGTAAAACTTAATCAGTGAGTTAATCATGAGCCGGAAGAGTCAAGGAAATGAGGATGAAGGAAACATGTAGGTGGAATTGTGGGGTGGAGATGTTTCATGACAAACCTCAACCATATGTTTTTGTTTGTTTTGGTAAGATGTTGTTAGTAGAATTAAGAGTTTTCACGCTAGTATGACACACTGACAGTTAGTTGGAGATAAAATATTGTTGTTATTATTGTAATTATATTGTTGCAGGCAATCTATCAAATTTTGCTTTAGTTCTCCGTCCGAACAGCCCCCGCAGCGGAGTGTTTTAAGTCTCATCTTAAGACCCGCTTTTATTCTCTGGCTTTTAACACCGTGTGAGTTGTGTGGTCTTCTGTATATTTATTTTATGTATTTATTTATTTAATGTTTTTTATCTATATTATTTTTTAGTGCTGCTTTTATGTATTGATTTTGTTATTTTTGTTCATTGATTTTATTATTTTATTTACTGATTCTATTAGTTTCCTCATGGTTGAACAATTCTGTTGATTTTTTTGTGTAAAATTTTGTGAAGCACTTTGGAAACTAGTATAAACTTATAAAATGTGCTATACAAAAAAAGTTGGATTGGATTAGATTTAGTTAGAAGTATGTTACATATCCTCGCATCTTCTGCACTGTCTTCCTTACCTCTTATGTATTGCTGAGATATTATTATTACTTATGTCTATTATACATAATTTTACTTGTACATATTGTATACATTTATACAATTATGCCTTATTTGACAGAATTTATTACTACCGTTTACATTTTTACTCTTTGTTATTAAAAAATATTGTGAGGTGTGAGCTACTGTCTTCAAGTAATTTCCCTTGTGGATCACTAAAGTTTGTCTAAGTCTAATTCTTTGACTGATTCGAGGCAAATTTTTGGTGCACTGTGTAACTTTTTGGTTCGGGGGTCGTGACCTGTCGTTTGTTTCTATGGATGTGTCGCTGCTCTGCTTAGAACAAGGGTGGGGAATTATTTTTTCCATGAAGCCACATGAGAAACATAAAATATTGTGGAGGGTCAAAATGTTTAACTCAATTCTGCATGATATTATTGTATTGTATTATTGGTAAGACTGGTAAGAGTTTATGTTATAACTAAGCAATGAAAAAGTGAGGTTGCCTTACAAAAAATGTCATTTAACCACCTCTAAAATAAAAGCAATGCAGCTTTAGTCCATGCATGAGGCAAAATGATAAAATATGTTTATTATGTAATTCTAAATTATCTTAAATGGGCCAGTCAGAGTCAACCAAAGGGCTGGATGTGGCCCAGGAGCTGAACATTACTCAGATTTGACTTAGAATGTTCCACAATATCACAATAAACAGCTCTAACTTAGATTTATTCAATTACAGGTAGTTGTATAGGTCTGCATTAGGGCCGGGTATCATTAAGAGGCTGCCAATACAGATCAGATGAACAAGAAAAAAAAAAAAAAAAATCTAAGAAGGAAATAAAAAAAATTTAACCTGGTAATTTTTTGATTGATCTTAAAGGTCTTATATTAAGCAAAATTGACTCCTGTGAGCTTGAAGTCTCATTAAAAAGTTGCCGATACGATATATACTTCGATACAGTGCACTTTCAATTCGATACGATATATTTCAAATCGATTCGATACGGTTCAATAAAAAATAAAGGCTAAATCATGTCTGTGATACTAAAAGTCTTTATCAAACCACTTCTTGTGCAAAGTGAATATAAAACTTAAAAACAAACAAAAAACATTAATCCTCAAAACTGTAAAAATGACAGATGTGTTGAGTTTCCTTCCTCTGAACAAGCAACAAAACTGTAGCGCTGTAACAAAATCATTTAGTAAAATATACCAAAAAATACTCTTGGCGATATATCGATACAGCAGCCCACGATATCGATACTGTATCATCACATAAACAATATATCGATATTTCAATATTTTTGCACACCCGTAGTCTGCATGAACATAGAAAGATTTAATGCCACACTGTGAAACATTCCAGACAAAGCAGTAACATCTCCATGAAGAAAAGCATTAGATGGAACTTCCCCACAAAAGTTACACAATGCACCTTTAAGTTTAAAACAGAAGGAGCACGGCAAAATACCAAATCTACATCTCTAATATATTTTCAGTGTAATCGGATTAGATAGGATGATAATTCCTTCCCGCACATTTAGTTTGCGTGTTTGCTTCGGTGCTATTTGTGGAATCACCTTATTAACTTTATGCCTTGTAGTTAAAACACTCATAACTAAAATAACCAAAACACTCACGAGACATTTCATCAGACACACAAGACGGACAGCGGCATTCCTACTTTTAGCTTCCCTATTGACTTAGCATTATGCGCAACTATTCAGCTATAAATAACCTTGTGTGTCTTTGCATGGGGCTAATTTAGGTGAGAATTACCTGACACCACCTGCGCGCTCTGCTGCTGGAGCTGACAGCTGAAGGTTTGCCAAGCCCCTGCGAGTGTGAACAGGAAACCCCGTAAATCTGTAAGGTCGCTGCCGAAGGAGCGCAGTGAGGAGAGGCTTCTTCGCAGTTCCTTCAGTTGTTGTTTATGCTTGTATCTGCAAAAATAAGATATGGAAGAGTTGGGTTCATGGTCGAGGTTTGGATATGAGAATTTGAGATGAACTACAAGGAAAAAAAAACATCTAAGTAGGATAAAACCCCAAACATTTAATATTTGGTTATTTTTTGGTTTTGGATGTGATCGATAGCCTGTTATTGATCTTAAAGGTCTTATATTACGCAAAATTGACTCATGTGAGCTTGAAACCATGTGAGAATGTTGTTACTAGGGCTGGGTATCGTTCAGAAGTTGCCGATACGATACATATCTTGAAACATAAGCCACGATACGATACATATCCCAATACAGTAAGCTTACAATATGATTCAAAATTATATATTTCAAATCGATTTGATATGGTTCAATAAAAAATAAAGGCTAAAGCATGACTGTGAAACTAAAAGTCTTTGTTAAACCACTTCTTGTGCAAAGTTAATATGAAACACACCCGTTTTAATTTATTTTTAATCAATAAAAATGTCAAATGTGCTGCATAAACAAGTTTCCTTCAACAAAACTGCAACAAAATAACCAAATATTTTAGTAAAATGATTTAGTAAATTTAGTAAAATATACTAAAAAATGCTCTTGGCCCATGAGATCGATACTGTATCATCACTTTAAACAATACGATATATCAATATTTCAATATTTTTGCATACCCCTACACTCTAAGAAATGAAACACTGAAGTTGTTCAAATTACATCACATATTTGTTTTGGATTTATTTAAAAATATTATTTTTCAAGTTGAATTCATTATGTTTAATTGTATTTAAGTAATAGAGTAACATTCTAAAGTAATGTAACACAATAATATATATGCAATTAATTGTGTTGTGTTGGTAATTAAAAGTGTTGTGTTAGTTTCTTTCAAAAAGTTAACGCACACGACTGACAATCTTTGCACATGCACATTTCCTGTACGTCAACGTCACGTTCAGTGACATCTTTCAACATCCGGTGCAGTGAATTCGAGCAGCGTTCTGTTGGCAGCGACTGTTGTTACTAAAATCGGAATTAATTCACTTACTTACCAATATTTTGATACTGGTAAGTAAGTGTACTTTTTAAGGATATGTTATTGAATCAAAACTTGTAGTTGTCTCATTTGTGGGTTAAACATGTGAATGAAACAAAACACAACTCCAGTTATGTTTTTGATGAGGAAACATTAGAAAATAGACCAGAAAATAGTGTAATATGAGCCCTTTAAGGTTTTAAGATCAATCCAACCACAAGTCGCATGAGTGACTGAATAACATGACTGATGACTTTGATGCTATAAGTTACTCTACATTTAACAGACATTAAATCTTGTATGAATTCTGATTTATGTGGACGGGATAAGTATAGAGAACTAAAGACAAATTAAAAGATTAGAACTTTCACAGAGCTCAATTTTTAACCTCCTTTTGTTTAGAAATTACATAAACATTTTGCAATCCAAACTGTAGACAGAAAAAAAAAAAAGTCGCATGTGTGTATAGTTTCAGATTCAAAGAGTAGCGCATTTGATTGTGCTGCTAATAAAAGTGCATTTGTTTTGCCTGCCTCCGGGGACAAGTGAGTAGCTTTGAGAATTATGAGCAGATCTAATTGTACACACTCGCTGGCTTGATTTACAGACGCTGCTTTCATGTATTTGAATCACTCAGTTCTGTTGCCATGACCTCAACAGGGGCAGGACTAATAAACAGGTTCAAAGATCTTTGGGAAACTATAAATATTGCAAATGGAAAAGATAAAATTAAAGTGATGAACTGGGAGATTTCATTAAGACGATTGAGCCAGGCCCTTTTGCGAAATTAAATTCTGATTTGATTAGCTGATAGTATTGCATTAACACAATAATGGACGACAGTAGCTCCAATAAAATCAAGTACTAACCAGAAACTGTCTGTCTGATGAACAGCAACGCAACAAAATAAATTGGACAGCGATTCAGACTCTCTATTGGAAATCATTTCTACAGAACTCAACAAAAAATAACTGCTGAAACACAAAGTGAAATCAGTCAAATCTTATTCAACACATCAGAAAAAAGAGGCTACGTTCAGACTGCAGGGCTTAACGCTCAATTCAGATTTTTGTGTGAAATCCGATGTTTTTGCGAGGTCGTTCACATTTCCAATTAAATGCGACTTGTCTGTGACTCCAGTGTGAACATAAAACAGCCTAAAAGTGTCCTGCAAGCGCATTGGAGGACACGATGACGTCAACCGCAGTGAGCGTGCTCTGTGTTTACGGAAGTTGTCCAAACATGGACGCGAGCATTGAGCACGTGGAGATTTTAAAGTTCCTCTCATACTGGAGCCAGAACATGAACAACTTACTTGTTTTAAGGAGGAGATTGAGAAGGAGAAGAACGAGGTTTTTGGTCGTGGCGTTTTGTGGGACAGCGGCAGCGACGTCCGTTGAAAGGAACGTGTGGATGTGGAGACATAGCCAAGAGTGGTGAGTGGTGATGTGCTTTGCTTCAGTGACACGGAGTTCATTAACGATTTTCACCTACTTCAGCGCAGAATAGTGACGTTTGTGGCTTGTTGATAACGTGTAGGTCAGATGAATGTGCTTTGGCCGTTCAGACTGAAGTCGCATGTCAAAAGATCGGATATGTATCGGTTTTAGGACCACATATCCAAGTGGCCTGAGTCGCATTTGAAAAAATCGGATCTGTGTCGTTCAGACTGTCATTAAAAGATCAGATACAGGTCACATAGGGGCCAAAAAATCGGATTTGGGTCACTTCAGGCAGCAGTCTGAATGTAGCCAGAGAAGCACAGGTGGGACCAAGTCTTAAGTCTCAAGTAAGTCTCAAGTCTTTGACCTCAAGTCCCAAGTCAAATACAAGCAAGTCCAAGTCGAGTCTCAAGTCACTGGCCAATAAATCCAAGTCAAGTCTCAGTCATTTGCTTTGAGCTTCAAGAGTCACAGTGGAGTGTTTTAAGTCTCGTCTAAAAACCCACTTTTACTCTCTGGCTTTTAACATCGTGTGAGTCATGTGGTCCTCTGTGTCTTTTATTTATTTTGTTTATTTTGTATGTATTTTATTGGGTTTATTTATTTATTGCTATGCTCTTATTTAATTTTACTGGTTTTATTATTTTAAGCCTAGTATGATTAAATCTGAGTGTTTATTTTATCATTTTATTATTGTTGTTATTATTATGTATTTGTGCAGCACTTTGGAAACTGTTTGTGAAATGTGCGAGATAAATAGTGGATTGGAAGTCATTTCAAGGCTTTAAACCAAAGTACCAAAAATATAGCTTAGATTTTTACTATTTGTATGACTTTTAAGATAAATTGTGCTTTTTCTGTATTTATAGAGTATATAAGACATTAATTTAGTTATTTTTTTCCTTTTTAAATGTCTTTACAAGATCTTAGAGTGAATAATTATGATCAGGATAGAAAGAATTCAGATTTAAAAGTGCTTCTCACGTCTACTGAAGTCCGAGTCAAGTCCCAAGTCACTGGCCTTCAAGTCCAAGTCAAGTCCAAAGTCTTAGACCATTTTATCAAGTCAAGTCTCAAGTCCTAAAAATAGTGACTCAAGTCTGACTCGAGTCCAAGTCCCCACCTCTGCAGAGAAGTACAATAATGTTTTGAAAAATACGTTATTGCAATCTAAAATGTTTACTTTAACATGTACTGTTACTGAAAAATCATAATATAAACCACCTTATCAGTCACAACAGTAAAGCCCGAACCCTGTCGCTTTCTGTATCTGCTCCAAAACGTCGAAAACAAGTGAAATATAGCATTTTAAACCAGAGTCAACATGACTAACAAACACACTTCAAGCTTGGCAGCAATTACGCAAAAGTAGACAACAGTACCACCAAGTACTTTTGTGTGGTGCCAAAATCTGTACAAGTAGGTCAGCGCTGAGGGAATGTGGCATTAAGGGCATGTGTTGTTTTCGGCGCATTCATGTGATAATGAGTGATAATTAAAATAAACTACATTGAGGCTTATTTGTAAACAGTGGCTCTTTAAATATTGTGCTTAAACATGAGAACCCACTGTGCTTCGAATGCCACACACTGACACACACACACACACCGAGACAAACACACACACACACACACACACACACACACACACACTACTCTTCTCACATGCAGCCCACAAAGTGCAGATGTCTGAATAGAACATTCCGTTATTCCGAGAGCACTTACAGGCACAGTTGGGCGAAAGCACATTGTACGATTTTCTAATATATTATTCACACAATCACTTCATTATCACAGCTATCAGTTACACGGCTAGTAATTGACTTCATTATGTATAATTTAACTAGCAATTATTAAACAAAAACTATTTATTATTATTGAAGTACATTTGCAGATAAATGTCAAAAAGGGTACAATCTTGATCAAAATAGTCCGTGCAATACAGGCAATGCAAATACACGGAGGAAAAAACGATGTCTAGCTAAGTTAAAATGACTTAAATAAAACAAATTTTACTTTATTTGAGGCGATTCAACGTGACAAGTAAAATTATCGACCAATGGATTACGTGTGTTTTTCTGAATTCAAACAACATTCGATTTTGCTTCTTATTTTAAGTGCAAAAAGTTGTTGTTTTTCTTATTTTAAGTGTATCAAGATGTATTTTCATATTTTAAGTACAAAAAGTCTTATTCCACTGGCAGATCAGTTTACTTGTCAATGGAAATTTACTTGAATCATGATAAAAGTTTCTTAATTCAAGTCATCTTACCTTGAGTAGATTTTGTTTTTTGCAGTGTAGGCCTACTGTTTAAACTGGTTAAATTGTTGGAATAAACTTTCTGGTTACCTACTGCATGTACTTTTGTGTAATGAGTCATAGAAGTTCATAATTCAACCCTCTACGGCTCAGACCTTATTGTAGAACAGAAAAATAACCCAATGTTCCCACTAGTACAAAGAAAATGTACCCATGACAAATACTGGCCCAAAAAATTATTGTTCCATCCAGCCCTGTCGACAGAAATTTGAG